AATATTATGCTAGATATTACTTACATAACATAAAATGTCTCTCTCATAGTGAGAGGAGGGTGGGAGGGTGTATGCTGTTCGGCTATCTTACTAAAGAATCCAGTAAAATGTTCCCATCTGGTGAGTGTTCTGTGCTGTATGATTCCTTACCAAGGTATCTGTTTGTCGTTTACCAGCGTTGATGTTTCCTGTTTTCTTTGTCTCGGAACATGGTTGTCAAGGTCACGTGATTCAGATGACTTGGTTGTCATGATCACGTGACTTTTCTGTCTGAGTCCAAGCGGAAGTGAGTTTCAGACCGTTTAATCTCAAATATTGAGGAACTTTTCAGTGTTGTAAAACATTCCAGAACATTCCTCGCCTTCTTGACGTGTTTGTGTGTAGGAATGATGATAGCACCACCCAGTGAGAGATGACTTGGCAGTGAATCTGTTCTCAGTATTCACGCCCTGTATCTTCTACCTCTCTCTCTCAACATGTATCTTAGTGAGTGTTATTATAGTGCATCTCGTGTTATACTTAACTCATAACTAGTGCAGCTGTGTGTACCTCTGATCGTTGTGTTGTTGGCACGGGAAACTTGTTCTCATGTGTGTACAACCGTTTATTTTGTAATAATTTTCTCTGTTTTACAGTCAATTCTAACCACAATTCTTCGCACTACATCAGCCCTAATCTCCCCAATCTTATATAATTGTGTCCCAGAATCTCCAGAATTTAATTGTCAGAATTGCCAGAATGTCCAGTTAAATCCAATCTCCCCACTCAAGCTCCCCACCTCACCCAACAAGACATCAAATTAAGTGGTGACAGTTGACAACACCACTAACAGGTTGTCACGTTATATTAAACTGTTGGTGAGAATGTGAGGGAATGTATGGAATGTGGCGGGTACTCGATCTCCAATTACCCTCACACCCATTTATAACAACTACTCACCGAGTTAATACTGGTGCACAGTATTTGTCGTGTCAGAATGACAAATATAGTTGAAATCACCTAATTTCTACCCTTCTTTGTGCTCTAAATAAGTGCACTTCTTTTTGATAGTTTGGTCAGTATGAATCTGTCTGGTAGTGTAGCCCCTCTCAAATTACCACTACTATACTCACTCATCAGCTCACAACACTTACATTCACATTCACAACAGATCACATGTCACATGACACTTAAAATCACACTCTCTCATCACGTGATAGGACGCGTCTCTCATCACGTGATAGGACGCGTCTCTCATCACGTGATAGGACGCGTCTCTCATCACGTGATAGGACGCGTCTGGAGTTTCACCTGATTCCTGTAATTGCTGATTTGGTAATATAAATGTGTGGTTCATGGTACACTTCTTACTTTCTTAGTTTTCTGTTACTTTACTTTCTTAGTATCCGCTATATTTTGTCTCGGCTTGGTGCTACTTTTCTATTTTACCATATTTTGGTTAGCTTTTGTCATTTTGTCCTTTTATTTTGTTTGTATCCTGATGTTTGTGTCGTATTTTCAGTCTTCAGGTGATGAAGATTCTCCGTCAGTCGGTCTCACCTTAGCTCTCACAAGTAAAGAAGTAAGCTCAAGAACATTGACCCCGGCCCCAGACCGGTTTTATAACTGATAAGTGATAACCAGTCATCCTCTGTAGGGTACGAATATATTATCCATGTCAGAATGTTCCCGTTTCAAGGATGACTACTGCAAAATATATGGTCAAATATTTTTTACTTTTGATGACGTCTTTTCTGTTCCGACTGGTCAGCGGCCGCAAGACAGACGTGCCTGTCAAACCTGATCTAACCTCGAATTCTAAGAATTTCTTTATGAAATTACGATAGAAATAATTTCTACATTGCAACTTGTAAGGTAATTCGAACCAATTTATGCTCAGCTCGATATCGAGTTAAATTGCGCCATTGCCATTGGAAACGGACTATTAAGTGATTCCCAGGTTTGCAGCATTGCAGGCCATATATAATATACACATACACATCCCTGCTTTTATTCTTTTATTTATTGTGAAATGTTTATTTTCATTTTCATTTACCTAAAATGTACTGGTTAAAGTAAACCAGTTCGCTTTAGATTGGTAAGCTATTATAACTTATACGGAGCCTATTCAATAAATGTACCCTCTGAAAATATAAATGTAATGTATTGTTTTGTTCGACCTTGAATCGCATCTTTGATTTGATGTATTGTCTTCAATGACTGATACATACAGAATTATTTTTTGGGCATTTTAAGGAATGACATAATTCGCATTCCAGTCCTTCAATCCTTAACAAAATTCAACTATAGGGGAGACGCGTGCTAAATTTAAATAAATTTTAACCGTTGCACCAAATTAGCTGTCACATAATTTTCCTGGAAAGGAACGTAAAGATGTCATGAATTAATTCTCCAACATAAAATTACCATATTAAGTAAAAACTTTAAAATCTGATCATTCAGCCTGATTTCACAGATCTAGGCACGGCGACAAATTGCTAAATCGAGAATTCTCGATTTCATTAAAATTATCACAAAATTCTCCTTCCACTTTCTCTCCGTCTCGCCTTGAATAATCTTTAATGTTTGCTCAAATATCACCCGGTATTATCATCCATTTGATCCTTTATTCCAACAAACTCTCGTTAGACGCCCACGTGCTGCCCACGTGCTGCCCATGTGCTACCCACGTGACAAGGCCACTATATCACGTGCTCAGGGCTGACAGTTAAACCTCTTTAACCGTACTCAAAAAGACATAATCCGCTCTCGGAGCAGCTCCGGGAAAATAATTTTGTCGCCGCTGAAAGCACAGTTAAACAGTTCCACCTTTCCTGGTACTATTATACCTTTGGTTTTACCGTCATGTGATTGTGGGGAGCCAATCAGAGCGCGGTATTCTGGTCACGTGGGGGTCAGAAGACCAATCAGGTGGGAGGAGTAATAGTATCGTAATTGAGCTCTGCGCGTATTGTTCAACTGCCTGTCTTAAATATTTTATGTTGGTTAGTTAATATTATATTTTTGATATATATTTTCTGTGCACACAGCTTATGGTATGCTGTTTCCATTATTGCTTTAATGGATTTTTAAATATTGATGATTCTTGTACGTGGTTGAAACAAGATGTTTCCCCGAATTTTTAGATTACCTCTGAATTAATTTACCTGTTTGTTAGCTTTTTATCCAGTTATAAAAAGGGAATGTAAAAAGGGAATGTCACTGGTTGTAAGGTTAATAAATCCAGTGCCTTTCCTTGAATTTAATGTGAAATTCAATAAAGTTTTCACGACCGTCACATTTTCTTGCTTACGATATTCTCGCGACTTCAAAAGATTTCACTACAAAATCTCCACAAAGATGTGTTTTTGACGTGCATCTTTGGCCCCAAATATGTAAATATTTAGTCCAGATGATGTTTCCTAAATAAATATAAACATAATCGTTTATAAATCTGACCCCATATGAACATAATCATCTGCTGTAAACAGTAAACTCATATAATAAATGTTAGAACCAGGTACTAAGATAAGCTTTAATTTAAACCAGACACGATGTTAAGTGTGGGATGTAATTGTACCTATCTTTGATGTTAATCAAACGGTACAGTCTCCCATATTATATTAATTGCAGTTATACTATTACTACTTTATTACTCCGGTCTCAGATTTGCTGAACAATAATCGGCCTTGTCTCAGATTTGCTTAACAATAATCGGCCTTGTCTCAGATTTGCTGGACAATAATCGGCCTTGTCTCAGATTTGCTGGACAATAATCGGCCTTGTCTCAGATTTGCTGGACAATAATCGGCCTTGTCTCAGATTTGCTGGACAATAATCGGCCTTGTCTCAGATTTGCTGGACAATAATCGGCCTTGTCTCAGATTTGCTGAACAATAATCGGCCTTGTCTCAGATTTGCTGAACAATAATCGGCCTTGTCTCAGATTTGCTGGACAATAATCGGCCTTGTCTCAGATTTGCTGAACAATAATCGGCCTTGTCTCAGATTTGCTGAACAATAATCGGCCTTGTCTCAGATTTGCTGAACAATAATCGGCCTTGTCTCAGATTTGCTGGACAATAATCGGCCTTGTCTCAGATTTGCTGATCACGCACTGTAACATTATGTACTGTAACATCACGCACTGTAACATTATGTACTGTAACAGAAGTGTAACAGTGTGTCCTGTTATATTGAGCTATTGAGCTATTTAGTTACCATGATGTCATGTTGTTTGTGAATGGTCTGAATAGCTTAGCCGATAGTTGGAGCCTCACATTATGATTATTAAATTACTACTTTCTTATCATTACAAATAAGTGGTAAATTGTGGTAAGTGGATGTGTGTAGCTATTATGATTTACTGATCATAGCAATTACATCGGACCAAATCGATGTGAAATTAGCAGCTACAGATTGCTAACCGTTTAAATGGCCTTGAATTATTGGATATTATAATTATTGGTAAACGTTCACCACTTAAACAGCTATTGTTATTTAAGTGTTATTTGTAACCTTATAAATAATTATTATTTTTGGTAATTTTACTCTTACTCTGGAGCTGATTGCCCACCTTTTACCTTTACCTGGATCAAAACCTTGATCTTAAGCAGGGTTATAACCCAGTCCCAGTCCCAGTCTCAGTCCCAGTCCCAGTCCCAGTCCCAGTCCCAGTCCCAGTCCCAGTCCCAGTCCCAGTCCCAGTCCCAGTCCCAGTCCCAGTCCCAGTCCCAGTCCCAGTCCCAGTCCCAGTCCCAGTCCCAGTCCCAGTCCCAGTCCCAGTCCCAGTCCCAGTCCCAGTCCCAGTCCCAGTCCCAGTCCCAGTCCCAGTCCCAGTCCCAGTCCCAGTCCCAGTCCCAGTCCCAGTCCCAGTCCCAGTCCCAGTCCCAGTCCCAGTCCCAGTCCCAGTCCCGGTCCCGTCGTCCAGTCCCAGTCCCAGTCCCAGTCCCAGTCCCAGTCCCAGTCCCAAACCCAATCCTCGAACTTTACAACGTGAAACTAACCGGTTAATTCACCTTAGGGTCACAATGTCTGAAGATTTCGAAGAGCAACTGGGGGTAAGTAGAAAAACTGGTTATAAATACATTATGTTTAGAATAAATTTTAGTTTAGATTTTGACAAAGCATATTGTTTTAACATCACAACACCAGCTAGATCTTAAAATGAGTTCTCAACACTCTAAAAGATCATTAACATGCTACTTTATGCTCAATTTCTGATTTGAATAAAGTTATATTATATAATTCACATAAATTCACATAAAATGGAGCTATACTCCACGCACGAAAAGTTGGCACCTTAGAACTTTACAGAACTCAAAATAACAATAGTGTTTAGCGTTTAGTAATACACACTTCCGTTACGTTGCTGAATTTCGTGTCCGTTATCTGTGCTCATCTGTGAACATCGTACGTATCGTGTGGCTCTTAGTTTACTTTAATACAATACAAAGTATAAGAGTACACATCATGCCAGCTTCCAAAGACCGCCTCTCCCGCAAATTTGCTGAAATTGAAGCAGACAGATCAGCTTGGTTGGAACAATGTCTGTTTCTAACCGCGTCACGTGACCTAAACTCTCTGTCAAAACACAGTTTCTCTTACTGTAACAGTGAGGAGGTCTCTGAGTTGCTGTTTCAGGGTGTGAAGCTGGTGAACAGACAGAATCTGCTTATAGCGCGGCTCAGGGTTCAAGCTCAGGTGCTTAGTAGGGTAGTGTAAAATAGAGGCGCTAAGTCCCGCTGTAACCAGCTTACCACATTACACTAAGGGAAACTATAATAAGCACTACATTAAGAGAGGGATGATATGATTGACGGTCAATATTTTTTTAATTTTCATTGGTTAGTTTAGGTTATAAAATCAAATGAAATTCGTGTAAAAACTAACTGAGTATGTAGGGTTGAGTCAATGAAACGATCTAATAACTTAATAAGTCAAAAAAGTATAATATGTCTCTACAGTGAGTCTACTACAGACCGTCAGACCTATCCCCCTCTTATCACTGTTGTGTTGACATTCCCATGAAATGATTGTCATGTTATTTGGGAAGTTATGTTGGATTCTTCAGAAGTCCTTATAGTGTCTTTAGGCCCTCCTGTACAATTTCAAGGGTTAAACAGCAAAACAAACATAAATTTTACACATAATAAAGTCATAACCTCGAAATAAATGCCAGCCTCGTGCGTAGGGTATAGTAAAACACTTCCAATAATATATTCGAACAGATTTAACCGGCAACCTGTCCAGGCTGGTGAATACGACGTAGCAGAACAGATTCCCGGATCAGAACTCCCCGGAGATAACCTCCACCCTGAAGAAGAAGAAGCCACTGATAACGGTCCCGCAGATAACGGTCCAACAGATAACGGTCCCGCAGATAACGGTCCAACAGATAACGGCGATATTGATAACGGTTTAGCTGCTGAGCCCGATGTTAATATGGACCAGATGAGTGAGGAGGTAGGTTCCTGTCCGGTTGTGTTAAGTTGGGTTTTTTGTGAGGTTTTTAAAAATTAATTAAATAATTTGTTAGTCCTGTAGTTTTGTGGTTTCGATATTATTACAGTGTAGAATATTTGTAGAGTAGGAAGTAAGAGAATCATAAAATTTGGGACATGAAGCAGCTATAACGCATGCAAGCTGAACTTTCATCATCCCTTTTTAAATAATAATAAGATGAATTAAAGTCTATCACAGCATCTTTTTTGCTGAGCTATTCAGCTAATGTAGATGAACAACTCTTGAGACTTCCATTTACTCTTTTCTATAAAAAAGTATAAACTTCTCGAGATCGTTTATCGTTTCTTTCAAACTTGTCAAATTCTTCTGCACAAGTTTTGAAGTGTAGCATTTCAGCCTAGCCTCGCTAATCTGGATGATGTCACTCTGGAAGTAGACCAAGATACTGTACCGGATGAAAACTGCGCTGCTTGCGACGAACACATGGATATTCCTAGCCATGAGGATGCGCCCGCTGAGGAACACTCTGTTGATATTGGTAGCTTGGATCAGGATGCTGAACTCGCTGCCGCTGAACCAGTTGAAGCTTCTTTTGATGACTTTGCTCACGAAGAATCATCCCCACAGGAGCCAGCCCCAGAACAACTATCTCATGAGGAAGTACCTGAAGTAGATGCTGCTCCTGAAGTAGATGCTGCTCCTGAAGTAGATGCTGCTCCTGCAGAAGAAAGCCCATTGGAGACAGCCCAAGACGAAATAACCCCAGATCAAGGAACTCCAGAAGAGGTAGTACATGAAGTTACCCCCGAGGAACCCTCTCCTGTAGAACCTTGCCCTGCAGAACTTACCCCAGAAGAACCAATCCCCGCAGATTCCGCCCCAGAAGAACCTACCCCAGAGGAACTTACCCCAGAGGAACCTACCCCAGAGGAACCGACCCCAGAGGAACCTACCCCAGAGGAACCCACCCCAGAGGAACCTACCCCAGAGGAACCTACCCCAGAGGAACCTACCCCAGAGGAACCCACCCCAGAGGAACCCACCCCAGAAGAAACTCCGCTTAGCCCTGCTTTTGAACCCCAGCCACTTTCTGACAACCTTTCAACAGAGGCAAGTGAAGTACCAGAAGAGCAAAGTGAAGCAAAAGCAGAGGAATCAGCCGACCTCTTATCTCTTGATAACGAGGAAACTTCAACACATGAAAACGATGTCGTTATGACATCGGAGCCTGAAGCTGAAGCTATTATTGAGCCTGAAGCTGTAACCGAGCCCCAAGGAGCCGAGGTTGTTTGTGAAGCACCTTGTGATGTAGCAGATGAATCTAGCAGTGCTATCGAGGTAAATTGAATGTGTATGAACCGTGTTTATTCGTTTTCTAGTCACATTAGCTTTCGTCAATATTTAAATCGTTATTAAGCTCAATTTAAACCTACTGTGGCGTGATAAGCAACATGATAGCAACATGATAACAACATAAATACAACATTATAACAACATAATAACAACATAATAACAACATAATAACAACATAATAGCAACATAATAACAAGATAATAACAACATAATAGCAACATAATAACAACATAATAACAACATAAAAGCAACATAATAGCAACATGATAACAACATAATATCAGTTCATAATAGCAACATAATTGATTAGGAGAAACGTGTAAGCTATACCTACGTATTATGCACCTTTGGACTTAGCACATGTATTTCTGGAATAATCTACTCATTTAAATCCATAATCTTTGTTGCATCTTTATGTGTTTACTAGGTTTACTAAGCCCTTCCGGTATACTTTCTATGTTGCTATGAAGCCCTTGGGTTTACTTTGGAGCCAGGGAACTGAATTGTATCCGATAAAGTTCCTGCTAAATTGTCACTGCTGAGTGCATGCAATCAAGAGTGTTAATGCTTGAATGCTTATTTCAGATTTCAATAAGGCTGAAATATCTTTGTCATAAGATTCAATGTTTTGTATTCCGGATTGAATGTATCGTGGTAGGTTGTCGTGCCAGATAATTCAAAAATTATTGAGAACTAGATATCCAAAATGTACTCGTGAACCACCAACTTGTTAATTTAATCAATATCTCGTAACGAACCTACTATAGTAACTATAGTTACTATGGTTACTACAGTTACCAATAATTACAATAGTTACTATAGTTACTATAGTTACTATGGTTACGAACCTACTATAGTGTAGTCACCCGCATATTCATACAGGAATCGGTAACGGAGGAAAGTGAGTCCCTTGGTCATATCGAATCACCTGTTGATCCCTCTGAGTCAGTCTCATATGTAGAACCTGTTTCTCCGGGATATAACATGGAGGATGAACCTGACTACGGCTATAACATGGAGTCTGATGTCACGCCTGTTCTAAGACTAGAATCCACAGAGGCCATCTCTAGGGTAGATTCTACTGGACCAGACACACCTCGATCAGATTCATATGATTTTCTACGTTATCAGAGTCAGCCAGAGACAGATCAAACAGACGGTGTGGAACAGTCTGACCAAAAAACAGCAGATTTGGAAGAGCCATCTTCTGGTGTGGACGATACCCCTTCAGATCACTGTCCAGGACATCTACCATCAGAGGAGGAACCCTTCAGACATACACCCTTGCTGGCAAGTATGGTGTCTCAACCAGGTTCTGAAGATCAGCCTGAACAATCTAAACAAACCATTGATGAAATTATCTCAGAGCAAGAATTAGGAAAGCCCACTGAAGACTCAGAGTCGGAAGAAGAGTTTTCATCAGAAGCATTAGATGATATGTTAGTTGACATGACAGATCTTGATTCCGGTGTCAGTGAACCGAGTCAGCAACCAGAAGCTGTTGAAGCTCCAAAGCCTTCAGTTGAAGAACCTACAAGTGATGCTGAACAAGAGCCCATGTTCGATCTTGAACCTGAGCCTACACCTGTTGTTGAACCTGACGCAGTTGAAGAACCTGAGGAATCTGAAAAACCTGAGGAACCATCCTTCGAGTTCATGTCTAAACATTTAGAGCCCGAGTCAACTGATGTACTTTCTCTGCCAGACACCGTTGAAACAACCTCAGAGCCAGATATTGTCGACACTCGTGCGGAACCTGAAGAACCAGAACCGGAAACTCCCTCTGAAATTGTTGAACCACCCATGGACACACCAACCGAAGCGGAGGATGAACCAGAATTTATTGTTGGAATACCCATGCAACCAGAATTTGATGAACCTCTTGAGCCAGAAACCATTAACGCTCCTTCAGAATCAGAAATGGATGGAGCACCTTCAGAACCAGAAGTTGTTGAAGCAATTTCAGAAGAAACAGCTGAGGAAGAACCACCGAAGTCACCCACTTATGCAGAAATTGTGGCTACTCCTTCAATGTCAGATTCAATTGACGAGCCCACAGAAACTCCTGCAGAACCAGAATTAGATGAAACGCCTTCAGAGCCAGAGACTATTGAGGAACCGTCAGAACCTGAGATCATTGAAGCACCAGAGCAAGAACCATTTGAAATGGTACCCGAGGCTGAGCCAGTAGAACCAGTGTCAGAATCTGGACCTACCGAGGAAGAACTTGCCTTGCAAGAAGAACTAGCCATGGAAGAGGAACTCGCCAGGGAGGAAGAACTCGCTGCACAGAAAGAACTTGCCGAGCAAGAAGAACTTGCTAGGCAGGAAGAACTAGCTAGGCAGGAAGAACTTGCCTTACAGGAAGAACTTGCCAGGGAGGAAGAACTCGCTAGGGAAGAAGAACTCGCTGCACAGAAGGAACTTGCCGAGCAAGAAGAACTTGCCAGGCAGGAAGAACTAGCCAGGGAGGAAGAACTCGCTGTACAGAAAGAACTTGCCTTGCAAGAAGAACTTGCTAGGCAGGAAGAACTAGCTAGACAGGAAGAGCTTGCCTTGCAAGAAGAACTTGCTAAAGAGGAAGAGCTTGCCAGAGAGAAAGAACTTGCTGAGCAGGAAGAACTTGCCAGGAAAGAAGAACTGGCCAGGCAGGAACAGATTGCCTTACAAGAAGAACTTGCCAGGGAGGAAGAGCGTGCCGCACAAGAAGAAATTGCCAGGCAGGAAGAACTTGCCGCACAAGAAGAACTTGCCAGACAGGAAGAATTGGCCAGGCAGGAAGAGCTAGCCTTGCAAGAAGAACTTGCCAGGGAGGAAGAACTTGCCAGAGAGAAAGAGCTTGCCGAGCAAGAAGAAATTGCCAGGCAGGAAGAACTCGCTAGGCAGGAAGAACTTGCCAGGGAGGAAGAGCTTGCCTTACAAGAAGAACTTGCCAGGCAGGAAGAACTTACCGCACAGAAAGAACTTGCCAGGCAGGAAGAGCTTGCCTTACAAGAAGAGCTTGCCAGGGAGGAAGAACTTGCCGCACAGAAAGAACTTGCCGAACAAGAAGAGCATGCCAGGCAGGAAGAGCTTGCCAGGCAGGAAGAGCTTGCCAGGCAGGAAGAGCTTGCCAGGGAGGAAGAACTTGCCGTACAGAAAGAACTTGCTGAGCAAGAAGAACTTGCCAGGCAGGAAGAACTTGCCAGGCAGGAAGAACTTACAGCAGAATCGGCAGCAGAGCCTGACTATGAAGACCTTTCTGCAGCACTCTCAGAACCAGACACAATTGAACCATCCGAGCCAGAAGTTGAGTACAGAGGACCTTCTGTAGATTCATATGAAGAGTTAGCACAAGAGCCCAATGTGGTACCGGAACCCACTGCAGTATCTACTGAAGATCTGCATGAAGTACCTTGTGAGTCAGACGTTCATCTTCCTCCTCAGCATGCTGCAGTGCTTTCAGATGATCTAGACGACTTGATTGATGTCAATGATGAGACAGCGGATAACTTATTCATGGAAAATGGCTTCCATGACACAAAAGAGGATGAACAGATAGAGGAATCTGTCCTGAATATTTCCTCAGAGGAATCAGCCAACTTGTTGCCCCGCACATCTATTGTTCCCCGGTCATCTATTGGATCAGAGTCAAAGTCAGAGCCCGAATCTCCATCGACCATTATTAGCGCACCCTTCATTCCTATTACTGAGCCTGATCCTACTGGACCCAGCGAGGAAGAGCTTGCCAGGCAGGAAGAACTTGCCGCGCAAAAGGAACTTGCCGCGCAAAAGGAACTTGCCGCGCAAGAAGAGCTTGCTTCACAGAAGAGAAAAGAGGTAACCAGCATCTGATTCAGAGAGATTTCCCTCCACCTGCCCTAGTCCTGCGTGTGTTCTTTTACATAAAATACAGCAAATCATCATTGGTTGATCCTGTCGACTATCCTTATCCGATCCTACCTCTCCCTTTCATTTGCACAGTTGCAGTTCTGATGAATTTCACTTGAATTTCACTTGAATTTCACTACATCTCTAGATTTTCTGTTGCAACCTCTGTATGATTCACCAATCAAATGTATATAGTTGTTCTAATATATATTTGATATTTTGTACCAACCTTGTTTTAAATATCCCCGTGGAGGAGGTTTACTGGCCTCGAATTTCATTTTGCAACTTTTTTATCTTGATCTTCTTTTGTCTGGTCTTCGTAAGCCGCGGTCTAAAATTTACTGTTTGATTCTGGTTTTAAACTCTCTGTTGAAGAACCCAGAAACCTGGTATCACACACTTGTTGGTGTGAGATACCAGGTGAAACTCTACCATACGGACTTAATCTTACTTCTTGGAGATTATACTTGATTATTAGCATGCTTTTTTCAACTTCTACCCTGATTCCATCTACTGATTCGCATGAAATGAAAGTTCAGTATGCCTCCCCAAAAATTAAGAAATTGTTACACCGGTATGTGCTGTTAAATGTAACTCAGTATAAAACGTAAACTTAACGAAACCTTCTAAACCAGGAACTTAAGAAGGAAATTGAGAACCGTGATGCTATTATTGCTGCGGATAAGGCTCAACTCACTGATCTTCTGGCCAAGATCGCTGAGATGACCGCTGCAATGGAGAAGCTGCAGACTGAGAAAGCTGCTCAAGATGAGGAGATCAAAGCTATGCAGGTGCGTTTTGGCTTGTTTTCTCCATTTTGACATTTCAGTTCAAGGCAATGTTCAAGTTATATATAATTCTATGTGCTTTTTGTGCTCAAGCACTGAAGTAATGACAATTTAATGTCTGTGAAGCATACCATTTATATTCTACATTTTACATCTTGTGCTCACTGAATTCATTGAAATACCACATTCATTTAAATGTTACTCTTTAAGGAGAAAAAAGCCACTAAGGCAGAAGCACCCTGCAAGAAATCAGCGGTATGTTGTAATGTAAATGCTGGAACTTATTACACAGGGACCGTTCACGTGCTACCCAACCTTGGGAGAGGGGTTTGGGAAAACTTACGCTGGTATTATTTTTACACACAATTATAGCTGTGTGTCACGTGGCTATTACGGAGGGGTGTGTAGAATTGGAGGATTGTGGCTTACGTAATACGTGAACGATCCCTAAGCTTATTAGACAGAAGCATGTTGAATTCAGGAAATAGCTAGAATATTTGACAGTAACGTGCAATATATGCATATTTTGAGTGACATTCCATCTTTTGTAAAGCTGCATGGAATTGTGGAAATGACGCAACGACATCAAAATTTCGCTGGCTATACTTTTCTCTTGCTGTGAATCCCGCTCATACGCAGTACCACCAGTCATACTACCAGTTCTAAGTCTTTAAGGCTATCAATTCTTGAGTTAAGTTTTTCATTTATGACCAAGTACCAACGCTTCCTCGCGATTTTCACGCCGTCTGCTCTACAAAATTTTTAGCGCGAAAATCGAATGAAAATATTGTACAACAAGTCTACTACAATGTTTGCAAATTGTTGCGCGTTGAGCCGCGCATCCACATTTTTCATGTTTTCTAACACATGATAATATTACTCCTCGTTGTCTGCTTCAAACTGACGAGAAACTTTATCAGACCCCAGCTAAAGCAGGCAAGCCCGCTACCCCCAGTAGGACGGGCACACCGAGTAAAACTGGTGCCAAACCGGCCGCAAAAACGCCAGCCAAAACCCCCTCCAAGGTTGGTGCCAAACCTGCTCTTCCCCCAAAAGCCAACGGAAAACTTAGTCCCCCAGAGTTGCCACCTAAACGATCAAAATCCCCGGCTCAAGTTTGTGGCATGGCTCTCCATGTGCGCTAATCGCTTTAGTTTTTATGGGAAAATAATGTGCTTGATTTGTGCTGTATATGGATGTATGGCATGAAAATTTTATGCTGATTCGCATACAATATTGTGTAAATTGTTTTTGATGATTATGCTCTCATAAGTAAATAAAGAAAAACCAAAGGAATATTATCAAAAAGATTGGTCGATACTGCTCATTCGGTCTCATTAAAACAATATTCGTCTTTCCATTTGCCCACTTATAACTGCTTCTGAAACTCTTAACTTCTTACCCTTTTGAGAATCTATTAAATGTTTTGAAGGTATTTAACTATTTAACAACAGCATGGCTGCCCTTTTCTGACGAGTGTGCTTAAAGACTATTTTAAAATTCTGAATTATTTTACCCAAATTTCTCTTTGGGTCAAGAGCTAAAAAAAGTGCTTGAAAACCTTTGATTTTTCAGTGGTATTTACGCATTTTTGTCAGAAAACGGTAAACAGTATCTTGAAACCCTTATTTTCTCTGTCACTTATTTTGTTGATTTATTGGATTGTTCTGATTGATTCGAACAGTCCTATGTTTTTTATCAAAAACCCCCCTCCATCTAACTCCCCATCTTCACTCTTCAGGACAAGAAGGCCGGTGCAAAACCCGCTACCCCTAAAGCAGCCGCCAAGAAACCTGCAACTCCCGCCAAACCTGCAGCCAAACCTGCAGCCAAACCCGCAGCAAAACCCGCAGCAAAACCTGCAGCCAAGCCCGCAGCAAAAACACCTACAAAAACAGCTGGCGCCAAGCCAGCTGCTAAGAAGCCACTGACGAATGGTACGGGTAAACCGAAGGCAGGAACGAAAAAAATAGGTTTATATAGTTTGAGAGTGCGAGAATGCTGCATGTTCTGACTGCGGTGGAGGACACTTCGGTGGACCACTGCAGTGTTTTATACCCTCCTGCATGCTGCACTGAGGCTCCCTTCTTCCTTCTCCTGTCAGGGTGGTACTTGCACTTGCACTTGCACTTGCACTTGCACTTGCACTTGCACTTGCACTTGCACTTGCACTTGCACTTGCATTTGCACTTGCACTTGCACTTGCGCTTGCACTTGCACTTGCACTTGCACTAATTGCACTGTTTGTTTAAGATCAGAATCAGATAAATAGACTTTGTCCTGTCTGACTCTGAGCAAAATCTATCAGAAATGTTTTCTTGAAATACTCACAGTGCACATCAGACTTATGTTAACACTATAGCTGTAACCCGGCCTTCTGCCTTAAAGTATAGTCCCGCTCAGTCTAAAACCCGCATCAAGCAATCAAGATACGTTACTTCATTTCATGTGACAGAAGAACATACCTAAAACAAAATTATGAAACATTACCTGTGAGGATAAAGAGAAAACACTTAAACTTGATTAATGTATCGAAACTAAATGTTGTGCACAAATTGAACTTCCTATAAAGCACCATTCCCCGGACAGTTAGTAGATAGCCCAAGCATAATGTCACCAATTTAACCACTAACCGTATAGAAAACCGGGTTTCTGGGGTTAAACGTTATATTACAACAACCGGAGGAAAAACATTTTTTTATTTACTTCCTCAGAGTTTTGTCGGCAATATACCGAAAAAACCGGTCCCCTTACTCCTACCGTTTTCTTGATTAAGCGGTCCGTAAATTACAAACGTACGGACAGATGCAGTTCCTACCATTATTGTTAGTTATTCTTGTTTGGCAACTTGAGTTAGTTTGAAATGCGTTTACTTTCTTACTCTGGCGAACCTCACTTTGCTCATTTTCCTCTTCTGAATTTCCAACATATTCTAAGATGGTTTTGAGTGTTACTCGTGGTGTTGAATGTTATTCGGGGTGTTGAATGTTATTACAATAGGTCTAGAGAAGAAGCCCCTTACGAATGGGACCAGTAGAGTCAGACCAGGAACCAAGCTAGGTTTTTAGTGTGCAAAGCTGCATGACTTACCGGCGGAGGAAACTCCGGCGGAATGTTTTAGTGTTCTATACCCTACTGCATGCCCAACTCTGAGGCAATCTCTGTCCTTTATATTTCAGAAACATGGCCTCAATGTTTAGACCTCTCTTTCTAACTTGCACTTGCACTTGCACTTGCACTTGCACTTGCACTTGCACTTGCACTTGCACTTGCACTTGCACTTGCACTTGCACAACCGCGGACCGCCGTATGAGCCCCAATAACGGTGCACACTGCACATCTACATTTGAAGACTTTTTGTTTATTTGAGTTGAGTTGCTGTTTTAGTTACTAAGTTCAGTAGCAGTATTGATTTTAAAACACGTCGGATACAGTTATGATATTTATTATTTATGACACATTTGGAATGGTTGTATCCTCTTAATCTGAACAATGTCGGTTTTCTCTTTCCCCTCTTTTGTTGCCTAAGTACCAACTAAGTTGACGTTCGTTCTGGGTTCTGGACAGTTCTCCTTCTCTTCTGTAGCCTCAAGCTGTTGGTTTAAGTTTTCAAACGTTGTTCACAACAGAAAATACACGTCGTTTCAAAGGGGTCGATCTCGTGGGAATAAAGTTCAAGATAATTATGAATTTCTCATAAATCTATCAGCTAATTAGTTGATCAATAAGTTAATAAGATGATTAATATTATTTTGTTGCAGGAGCCACGAAGCCCGCTACACCTACCAAGAAACCTGCTGTAAATGGAGATAAGAAAACGCCGAGTAAGACAGGTGAGAAATAGTGATTAAATTATAAAATAAATAGATTTTACTATTAATAAATAAACAAATATATAAATAAATAAACAATTTATATTCATAAACAATATAAGATGCAGATTCTGGTGGGGAGGCGAGACATATTTTTTGACGCGTGACAGTGTTTCTGGTGTTTGATCGGTCTATAGTGGAAGCTGATTGGTTTATGTTGATGTCACTCACCTCCCCATCAGAGTTCAGGGTTTTTAAACTATTATTGTTACTTTGTTAACATTAATTATTACAGGCGTCAAGTCCGCTAGCAAAGTTGCCGCAAGCCCAAAGTGAGTATTTTTCTGCCCGCATTATAATATAACATCACCTTTACACTTAACAACTAGATGTATTTAAACCAGTTTGATATTCTACTTTAAACTGACTATAAGTCGTTTATGATGATCATCCATTCTCGATTTCACAATGGCTTACAAGGCCAGAATAACTAGATGCTCTATTTCAATCACATCAACACTTTAATTCAACTAACATGGTTAGTCTACTTAAGACTTCTCAGTATTATCTCTCAACAAAGTTCGGTAAATCCATGTTCCGCTGAGCTGACACATCACAACCTCCTTCACCAAAATAACCGTGCTCCTTCACCAAAATTACTGTTGCACTTCTACCATCTTATAGAGTTAGACTGGTAGAGATGGGCGTGGGTCACGCTACCGATAATCCTAGACATCAAACAATAGGGTCCATAACGGACACCTCGCCACAATCGCGCTTAATCCCATCACGTGACATAACTCTAGCATCACGTGGCGTCAATATTTGGTCACGTGGGCACTTTACAGTAATTCAACTGTTGATTGGTAGCTGGAAGTTTCCCGCTAAGCGTCTGTGTGGAAATTATTAATAGTACAGATCGTTAGTCTGCAGGCCGTATAATACCTGGTGTTATGATATTATAGTGGATTAGTAGTGCAAATAACAAACAAACAATTGCTTGTTATTCTCTCACTGGTGTTTGTTAGACACGCAGCTTGTTTGTTGCTGTTTATTGTAGCTTTAATGGAATTGCGGTTGCTTTGTGTTTTAGATTAATCTTACTTGGTACTACTCGTGTTATTTCAACCTAAAGTTTAATACAACTTGAAACTTTTAGATAATATTTCAAAATCTCTCGCTCTCACCTCATCAACCTGTTCTACTCAACCAAACTCACGTTTTATAAAAGTTTCAGCAGCAAACTGAGCTTTATTGAACGGAGAAACACCTTATATTCCTCAACGTGAACAATTTCATAGTTACAGGCTCAGAATCTCCGAATTATAACGCCACGTGACTTGACACCACACCACGTGACTGCACACATTGCCATGGCAACACAACCTGTCCGATGGGTTACGAATTGTAAATGTGCACGTGTCCTGCACCTATTATGATTAAGGAGGATCGCCCCGGACGGTGATTGGTCGACTGTAATCACGTGTTCTGAATACTCTCCTCTGATTGCTCCAGGTGGTGTGACGTACACTGAGAGACATAATCGATTGCTGAATACAAAATAACGTATTATATCTGACCTGAGAGACATCTTCCATTTTATTTTTTCTAAAAGACCAATCAAATATTAATACAGATAGCAGCTCCTGTATAATAACTGTTACTATCTGTGTCACGTTACCACAATCTCCTCCTCTGTAGGTCTGTAATTCTAGAACCTTCGGGTTGGAGAGAGTTTTTACAATGTCTCCGCTACATTCCTCTCTGTGCTACTCATAGCTATTATTCGTTGTTGTTTTTCAGGGCGGGTGTTTTGTTACACACTGCTTTTGATACATCAGCTGCACTTCAGAACATACAACTTCTTATGGTCAGCCTGCTTATGGTCAGAATTTGTTGCACCAGGGTAGTTATAAATAGCTCTTGCTTTCGTCTGCGGTTATCAAACGCACAATTCCCTTATCTTATAATCTAATAAACCTATATCTTACTTGATATAAAGTTTGTAAGTGTCACCTTATGAGACATATTATCAGTCTTGTCTGAGGGAGCTCGGAACAATTTAAAACTGCTACCTGGGGGGGGGGAGGGGCAACGCCCCAAAAGCGTTGGCCCCCCTACCTGACCTGTTATTCACCAGCTGTCACGTCATCTGGGATCGTTCAGACAACAGCTACAAGCTCATAGTAATATCTTGTCACCAGCAGATACCCTAAAACCATCTGTATCTCTACATTAAGCTATAAACCTACTAGGCTATTATACAACTCTGTAACTATGGTAACTGCGTTACCCCAGTCTGACGTTAGTAGTGGCTATAAAGTCCTTGCCTTCGTCACAGCACTGGTCTTGTAAGTGCTGGGTCTTTAGACGTATTCACAGCTCAGCGCACGTACTGCACTGTGTCAGGGACAAAAGGATTTCGCGATTATTTTGGCCAAAAATCGCGATACCGCGAAATTTAACAGGTTATACATTGAACTATACATAAAATTTGTCGCAAATAATGGGAAAAATCGCGATTCCATACATGCCGCGATTTCCTTTTGTCCCTGCACTGTGTGGAGCGCACGTACTGTAATGCGTGGAGCGCACATGCTGTACTGTGTGGAGCGCACATACTGTACTGTGTGGAGCGCACGTACTGTACTGTGTGGAGCGCACGTACTGTACTGTGTGGAGCGCACGTACTGTACTGTGTGGAGCGCAAGTACTGTACTGTGTGGAGCGCACGTACTGTACTGTGTGGAGCGCACATACTGTACTGTGTGGAGCGCACATACTGTACTGTGTGGAGCGCACGTACTGTACTGTGTGGAGCGCACATACTGTACTGTGTGGAGCGCAAGTACTGTACTGTGTGGAGCGCAAGTACTGTACTGTGTGGAGCGCACATACTGTACTGTGTGGAGCGCAGATACTGTACTGTGTGGAGCGCACATACTGTACTGTGTGGAGCGCACATACTGTACTGTGTGGAGCGCAAGTACTGTACTGTGTGGAGCGCACGTACTGTACTGTGTGGAGCGCACATACTGTACTGTGTGGAGCGCACATAGTGTACTGTGTGGAGCGTTCCTGGTTGCCAGGCTCCTCATTTTGGGCATTTTTATTGAATTATAACGAATATTTGTTGTTTTTTTACGCTTTTCTAATTGGTAAATGGTAATATTAACTTTTGGAGATATTTGGAGATATCACTATAAACCCAAATACTCACATAGAGATGTTCCAAAGTGCTCTCCAAATAAATTATATATTTCTAAAACCCTCTAACAGAGTAGCCGTTAACTTTTTCCATTAATAACGCTACGGGTTCCCCAACAACTTGCCTGTCGACAATTGGTGAGCCAGTAAAACCCCGTTAATCGGGGTTTTACTGGAGCTGTGACTTTGCCAGCTTTGTACAGAGAACTAGTTTTTACATGAGAATGAGGCTAATAACTGATACAATACCTAAACTCTCAGAGAGAACAATGAAAACCCCGTCTTTACTCCTTCTTTAACACACCATCCCTTTGATGATTAGTCTCCGATTTTATTTAAAAGGCCAAAATTTCCAAGTGTTAAAACCTCATCCCTATTCCTTCTTTAACAAGTAGCATCCCTTTGTTATAATGCAGTAATGAGTCTCAGATTTTGTGTAAAAAGCTAACATTTCCAAGTGTCTGACGTATAGGTAGGTAAAGCTGTAGACGATATCCTTCAATGAAGCGTAAGGGTCTGCTCTTCCTTTTTTTAAATACAAAAAATGGTCTCAACTGTTATAGTACAGCTATATTAGCCGTTCTTGCTGGGGCTTATCCACAACTTGTTAACATTAGCAAGTTTAAAGAACTGTCACGATGTTTAACTAGTTAGTGAACTTACTGCCATGTCGGCGGTACCTGAACTAGGGTGGAAGCCGTTTATCTGACCACCTCAGAGTTCAGACAGTACTTCAGACTTGCTAACAGTTACTGCTGTTGGTCTGACAGAAGGTTTAGATTTTCTGGTTTTGACTTTTAATAATTTGCTGTTTTTTCAGTAGCATCAGATTTGAACCTTGTGATGATTGTAATTTTCGGGCATTTATAGATTTATAATATTATTTGAAATCATCAAGTGCTACCCAGAATTTGGCTTATCAATATAATATGGTCGATATAAATAATATTAGTATACATACGTCATACCGAATATAAGATTTGTCGTTAATCTAATAAGAATATTTTGATAATTTCTCGAGCACTAAAATGAAGCACTTTACAATATAAAATCCGTTAAATTTAGTCTACTGGAGCACTTCGTAAACCTAACAGCAAGTGTAAATGTCTGTTATTAAATTAGTGTTAGGGGTATGATCCACTAAACTAAGTATTACAATGGTTACCTTAGTAACACCTTAGTAACACCTTAGTTGCCTGCAGTAGTAGGGATACAGCCAGGGTCGGTTTAAGGTTTATATAATTGGCCTGAATTTTATTACAACGTCTGAGTCGGAGTAAGGGTTTTTATCGTGGTTCTTGAAAATGGCACAAATATACTTGTATTTCATTGTTGATCATGTCTCTTAGTTTTCTATTTGTTGCCGACTATTAAAATCTCAAAATAAAAATAAAGCGATACCTGATTCATTTTTAATCAGGGTTTCGATATCAATTTTTATTTCCCCCGATTTTTCTTTGATTTTTCTATTGACATCAAACCACAGAAGATGGTAGTAGTCTTTTTGTAATCTACCTTCCAGTAAGTCTCTTAATACTGAAAACATATTAGTACTGAGTAGGTCTCTCAATCAAGCTTCAAACAGAGGAGCGATAATCTAGTATCAACCCAAAAGTCACTCCTCCATTTGCGTCACTCCTCCGTTTGCGTCACCTTTTGTCTAATTTGCCTTGCGATAAAATGGATTATAATCTGCTACTACAGCTAAAGCACTAGTGCTTGGCGTAGAATCTTCTAGTATCTATTATCTTCTAATCTTAAGTATTCGACAGAGCCATTTAGTTGAATTAAGCAACTGCAAATATTTGTGGGTAATAAAATTAACCTGTACGGGCAACGTCATAAAGTGAAAGCCATTCTGATGAATAAACAAGCCCGGTTATCACAGTTAACTTATCAACCTTAAATATTGAGACCAGTGTATCCTTTAAGGCCGGGTGTTAGTTGATAGGACACAATAGAAAGTTCTAGAAGCTTCATTAATCTAATTCAGATCTTCATCTATTTTATAATTCTATGAACTGCAACCCATTCTATGAACTTCAACCTATTCTGCGACACTGCAAGCTATTCTTATTATCCATATACTTCCCACTATACAGGTATACAGTATACCTGTAGGTGA